CTAGGTAGATAGATAGACAGTAAGACAGATAAACAGATGGATAGGTGAACAGACAGATGGATGGATGGATAGGTGGACAGACAAATGGACAGATAGGCAGACAGACAAAGATATGAACAGATAAGACTAACAGACGGACAGATGGGTGCATAGATGGACAGAGAGTAACAGATAGATGGAGACAGACATACACACAGATAGTATTACCCATTTACATGCATGTTGTTACTCCTATTAGAATATTAACTCCTTAAAGGCAAGGATTATTTTTGCTTTCTCCATGGAATCTTCTGCAATTAGCACAGTATTTTGCATGCTGTAGGCTCTTAAATGCTCATTGATTGACTGACTTAACTGAGTTACAAATAAATTTTTGGAAAAACCTACTGTCAACAGCTAGGGTCCAACTATTACCTGTACAGGACTTTGCTTTTAACACTGAACCACATTAATAATGTAAAGGGAAAGCTTCCTGACTATAAGGTTACCAGGCATCAGAATATATACAGAGCAGGGAATCTTCTCAACTGGAGTCATTTTAAAAAGAGGACTGCTACCCATCTCTCTGACATGGCTAATGTTCAATCCAGTTAGCACAGTGTATAGAGCTCCAGCCTCGGAGTCAGGAGGACCCGAGTTCAAATCCAGCCACAGACACTTTACACTTACTAGCTGTGTGACCCTGGGCAAGTCACTTAACTCCAACTGCCTCACCAGAAAGGGGAAAAAAAAAGCCTCCCTGGGCCTTATAACTTGGCCAAAAAAGTAGAATTCACATACATAAACTAAGTAAATATTTACAGAGCCCTACAATAAATAATGACTAACCCATATACCATAATCTGGGTCCAGGAGCTAAAAAATTCAGGAAAAGAGCTAAGTGTCAGTGGATAGAGCACTGGACCTAAAGAGAGTCCTGAGTTCAAATCCAGATTCTGATCCATACCAGATGCATGACCCTGAACAAGTCACAACTTCTCTCAGCCTCAGTTTCCTTATCTATAAAATGGGGACATATAGTGCCTACCTCCCAAAGTTGTTGTGAGGATTACATGAAATGTTTATAAAGTGCTTTGCCCCTTAAAAGCTGGCTATTATTATCAGCTGGGTAGCTAGGTAGCATAGTGAATAGAATGCCAGGCCTGAAGTCAGGAAAACTCAGCTTCCTGAGTTCTAATCTAGCCTCAGACATTTACTTAGCTTGTGTGGCCCTAGGCAAGTCACTTAACCCTGTCTGCTTCGGTTTCCTCATCAGTAAAATGAGCTGGAGAAGGAAATGGCAAACCACTCCAGTATTGTTGCCAAGAACCTCAAAAGGGGTTATAGAGAGTCAGATGTGACTGAACAACAAAATATTATTAGCTATTATTATTATCCAAGGTAGCTGGCTGCCTTAAGGACATAAAATAATCCTTATTAGGAATTATCCTTCTACTCAAAAAGAAGCTCTGGCCAATATAACTTTTCTCCAAAAAGCCCTACTATATTTAGTTCTAAGAGACAAACAGGTAGAGTGATTAACATGAGTGTGACACAGTTTTTACATTAGGGAAAAGAGTTTTTTACAATCTATTAGAAAGTCAGGGCCTGAATGAAAGGGCGGTAAAGCCAAAATGAAATGATCTGTGTAAACAAGGGCAGTCTCATAAATTCTTCCCTTATCCAACAAGGACAGCACTTAAAATTTCCATGAGGAGAAAATTTGTAATGCCAAATCAATTTAATTAAGAGGAAGGATGTTGGCAAGACTTTGAGCAGGGAGGAAAAGGACAAACACTAAAAAAAGTCCAAAGAGCAAAAACTCAAATTATAGTCAAGACTGCAAAGCATTTTTGGTCACATGAGGATGCGTGATAACATTTCCCAGCACAATCATCTCTTCTAAACTCCCCTCTTCCCTCAAAAGAAAATTTGCTTGGTACCAATTTAGTAATCTAGAAGGCAAATAAAATCAGAAAAATGATAGGGTAATGGCTCATAGAACAAAGTCAATATTTTCCTGTTCAGAAATTATTCTGTCTCTGTCTACGAAGCAGATATGGATCAGCTCCAAACAAATTACTTATATAAACAAACTTGGAAGTCAATTTACCTTCTTTTTTGTTTAGTAGCTTTGGTATACTTGAGACAGCCTGATTAGGGTCTGAGACCTGGAAACGCAAAGCCAGCATGGATGAGCACAGGGCTAGTCATGTTATAATCAATATTCCTGTATTTCAATTGCACCCTGTGTACCCTCTATCATTTTAAAGATTAATGAGCAGAAAAGAGAAGTCAAGGCCTCTCTTCCAAAATCATCCTGCACTAATTAGGCTCCAATTAGGAGTCTGGGTTTAGAACAGAGAACAGGGTCAGAGAAGGCCAGCCAGATGAAGAAATTTCAGATTGCCTAAAGCAGTGCTCAAATTCAAATAGAAAGAAATCACTGCAGATTTGGTATTGGGTTAGACAACCACAAATTAACATTCTCTATGTTGTATTGTATTTTTATTTATTTTGTTAAACATGTCCCAATGACATTTTCAGTCTTGTTCAGGCCACCTAAAGCAATAAACAGTCCCTTCTCTTCTTGGGTTTATTTCTCACTTTCTCTTTTATAGAAATTCTAGACAGTGCTCTTTGCCAGGCAGGTCTTGAATACACTACCTTGTCCTTACTGCCTCTTAGTCTGATATGGGAATCACTTGTCCAGCACAGAAATATTGACTTGCAGAGCAGATGGATACAGATGAATCTTCATGGGTAAAATTACTAGAAATGCCATACACAATGACTTTTTTGATCTTCAACATTCATTCACTCAGCAAACCTTTACTGTGTACGTACTATGTTAAATAATATTAGCAGCTAGTACTGTATAATAACACTTTAAGGTTTTGGGAGCAGCTAGGTGGCACAGTGGATAGAACACCCAGCCTGGAGATAGGAAGATCAAGTTCAAATCCAGGCTTAGACACTAGCTATGTGACCCTGGGCAAGTCACGTAACTGTTTGTCTCAGTTTCTTCATCTGTAAAATGAAATGGAGGAGGAAATGGCAAACTACTCCAGTATCTTTGCCAAGAAATCCCAAACGGGGTCACGAAGAGTTAGACATGACTGAAAAATGACTAAACAACAACAAAATTTTACAGTTGAGCAAACTGAAACAGATGGAGGTAATTTGCTTAAGGTCACACAGATAGTAAATGCTTAAGGCCACATGTGAACTCAGATCTTAATTAGTCCAGCATTAGTACTCTATCTATGCTGTAACCAATAATTTGGCTCCCCAATTACAACAACAAAGCTTACAAAGTGCTGTACGTACCATCTTGTTTGATCTTCATAACAACCTATTAGGTATATACAGGTATACATTAGGTACATATAGGTAGGTCCTATTATGAGGAAACTGAGGCTGATAGTGGTTAAGTGACTTCTTCACACACTAGTAAGTATCTGAGGTGGTACCTGAACTCAGCCTTTTCTGACTCCAAGTCTCATGCTCTGACCTAGCTACCCAAAAAAAGAAGCATGGAGTAGCTGGAAGACAAGTGGCTGACCTGTGTTCGAATCCCAAGGCTGACACAACCTGGCCATAAAATTCTGAACAAATCAGTGCCTTTCTCAGTGCCCCAGGCAACTCACTATGCCTATAAATTTCAGAGCAGTTGCTGATCATTGTTAGTAAAGGGAGTTTCCGACATGAATGAAATCACAAGTCTGGGTAAAACAACAGTTTAATCCTTGCTAGAGTACAAAGAGATATGAAACTGACCTTGTACTAGGAGAGCTTAACAATTTAATAATGGAGAGGAGAAAAGGGAAGGTATGTACATACACAACTATGGTACAAGAGGCAAGTATGAGGGAAAGGGTACAGGCAAAATCCTAATTTGAAGGAACCAGAGGGGAGGAAGGTCAATAGAAGAGGCAGCATCTGAACGAATCTGTGAACCAACCAAGTGAGGAATTTCCAAAGATACTGATTGACGGCATCAGGTTCATAAGATGATAGACTTAGATGTGGAAGGGACCTCAAGAGGCCACCTATTCTAATCCTTTCATTTTATAGATAAGGAGGCCCAGAGAGGTTAAGAAACTTGCCCAAAGTCACAGAGGAGTCTGAATTTGAACCCAGTCCCCTAACTCTAAATCCGGTACTCTTTCAACTTATCTTCACCTTCTGGCTTTCCTGAAGCTTAGCTAAAATCCCACCTCATCTCCCTTAATTCTAGTGCCTTTTTTTTTTAATTTTGGAGGCAATGGGGGTTAAGTGACTTGCCTAGGGTCACACAGCTAGTGAGTGTTATGTGTCTAAGGCCAGATTTGAACCCAGGTCCAGTGCTAAGAGTTGGGAAGCATACTTCATAGTAAGTCTGTGGAGTCATCATTGGTCATCGCATTGATCAAAGTCCTTAAGTCTTTCAAAGTTGTTTTCCTTCACAATATTATAGTCACTGAATTTTTGTTCTTATTCTCTTTGCTTCACTCTGCATCAGTTCATATAAGCTATCTCATGTTTCTCTGAATCCTTTTTTTTTCCCCATCCTCTCTTCTAGCACAATAATATTCTATTACATCTATATGATCACAATTTGCCTGTAATTCCTTCTCTTTGAATGTTGGAGGAAGAAAGAGGAGTCAGCAGATATTAGGGGTGTTTCATTTGTGATTTGTTCTACCACTCCCTAACCAGTCAACAAGTAGTTATTAAATGCTTCCACATGTGCTAAACACTTAGCACGTGATACCTTTCGTTGGGCTATGATTGGGAAGGAGCTAGTATAGTTTTGTCAGTCAACAATCATTTATTAAGTGCCTACTATGGGCCAAGTACTATGCTAAGCACTGGGGCCATGAAGCCAGGCAAAAAAAGACAGTCCCTGTTCTCAAGAAGCTCATAGTCTGATGGGGGAGAGAACACGCAAAGAGCTAAGTACAAACAAGATAGAGACAGGTTAGATTGGAGATAATCAACAGAGAGAAAGCACTAGAATTGGGGCACCCCTGCTTTAACTATCTAGAGGGGCATGATCACTGACATGTTCAAACAATAAATGATTATGACACGTTGGTTATGTCAGAGGAAAAGGAAAAGGTGTATCTGCTTAACATGATTTAAGGCTCTTATCACCTACAGACCTGTTATGAAGCCTAATGGTGCTTATCATTTAGAAGCTCTGTGGTTGGGAGGCAGGAATGCTGGCTTCTACTATCAGCTATTGCCCCAAACATAGAACACAAGCACAGGTAAACTTTTGCCAACTCTACCACTTTTGCAAAATTGTTTTTTTTTTGCCAAAGTACGTCTTTTAAATGTTTCACGCACGTTTTAAATTACATTTTTTTCAGTTGGCAAAAATCCACCTTGTCTCTCTCTCTTCCTCCCCCCTTTGAGAAAGGAAAAACGAAATCTTTGTTACAAACACAGAGTCAAGCAAAACAAATATCTAAGAGTGTGTGTGTGTGTGTGTGTGTGTGTGTGTAAAAATTACTCTGGAGTTCTTCATTTCTCTATCAGGAGGTAAGTAGTATATTTCATTGTTAGTCCTCTGGAATCATAGAACCCTGTTTTATAAAAAGCACTTTATAAGTACTTAAAATTTTCCAAATGACTTTTCTCTCAACAAGCTCATGAGGTAGAATGACAGCAACATCATTCTCTCTTCTTTTTTTTTTTGAGAGGCAATCAGGCTCAAATGGCTTGCCCAAACAGCATCCTCTCAACAGTTCAAAGCCCTCTTTTCAGCCTTCCCTCTGCTATCACCCTCCCCCACGTCAATCAACTGCCAAATCATATCAATTTCATTTCCACAAAACTTTAACCTCATTCTGTCCTTTATACTTCTATTGATATTACCCTCATTGAGGCCATCCTTGCTTCTTGCCATCTGGACCACTATAATTTTGCCTCCTAACCAATCTCCCTGTCTCCTGTCATTCCATTTACCAGTTGAGCTTTCTAATCACTGCCACAAAGAAATGGTTTCACAAATTTGATCACATCACTGCCCTTTTCATAAGCTTTTAGTGGCTTAGCAACACCTATAGGTTAACATATAAATTCTTGCCCTAACCCCACCCCACCCAATTAATAAGCAATTTTCTTTTTTTCTCTCAAACCCCACTGAAAAAAGAAAAAGAAAAGCAAATCCCTTGCATTGCCAAGCAAAAACAAATTCCTACACTGGACATGTAAAAAAATGCATGTCTCTTTCTGACTCTTCAATCCATCACCTCTCTGTCAAGAGTTGGGTAGCATTTTTCATCATCAGTCCCCTGGAATCATAGCTGGTCATTGAGCTGAAAAGTGTTCTTAAGCCTTTGAAAGTTGTTTGTCTTTATAAAGTTGTTGAGTATATATGAACTGATCTTTGGATTCCTCTCACTTCACAGTTCATATAAGTCTTTGCATGTTTCTCTTTTGAAATTTCTTATAGCACAATATTATTCCATTATATTTGCATATCATAATTTTTCAGACATTCCAACTGATGGGCACTCTCTTGGTTTCCAGTTCTTTGACACCACACATACAAAAAGAACTGCTATAAACATATCAATTCTTCAAGTTGGAACTGAAGAAATCCTTACAATCTGGCTTCAACCTACCTACCCCTACCTACCCTTCTACAATTATTTAACACTACTCCCCCCTTCATACACTACTCAGTATTCCAGCCACATGGAGCTGCCCCTAATTTTATCCTACTTGTCCTTTTTCATCTCCTGAACTTTACATATATTTCCTTATGTTCAGTGATTAACTAGATTCTCACTGCCTTGTTTCCTTTGCATTCTTGTTTTCTGAAGTAGACAGTACACTATTCTAGGGATACATCAAACAATTCAATATTATCTGTTTTTCTCATTTAAAACTCAGCCCATTGGTAAGCTGCTGTGATGAAGAAGCCGAAAAGGTATGTTTTTATCTTTTACCTGGGGACTAACATGGGTTTTAAAATATTGACTTTTATGCCTAATATCTTCATAGTGTGTCAGTGTTTAAGATAAGAAATGATCAGCCGCATTCAGTACATTCATCTGATAAATCTTGTTCTGAAAGATACCCATTATTCAAAAAGCATTTATCAAATGCCTACTACTTGCCAAAAATTTTGCTAAATTAGAAATGGACTTGTGATTTCAATACTAAAGGAAATTTCTAGGTGAGGAAACTCTCTCTACAGATGGATACTTACTTTGCAATTTATACTATCAGAGAAAGTCGGGGCAGGTAGGTAGCACAGTGGATAGAGCACCAGCCCTGGAGTCAGGAGGACCTGAGTTCAAATGTGACCCCAGACACATATCAGCTGTGTGACCCTGGGCAAGTCACTTAACCTTGATTGCCTTAAAGGGGGGGGGGATGTGATCCAGGTACCTCTGGGAGTAACAGACCTTTTCAGTGAGCTCCTCAGGGTCAAGACTATTTTCATAATAATGCTAAGATATTTTAATTTCTCATCTAGCAAATACCAATAATATAAGCCACATAAACAAAAGCTCCTTAGGGGAAGGCTCTTAATAATTTTTAAGAATATAAAGTGATCCTAAAACTACAAAGTTTGCCAATGGCTGGCAAGGAGCAGAGAGATGTTAAGCGACTTGCCCCGGGGTTATGCAATCAGTATCAGAGGCAGGGCTTGAGCCTAGGTCTTCCTGGCTTTGAAACCATCTTTTCTTTCTGCAGTACCAAGCTGCCTTTCTGACAGACCCTCCTCTCAAAGGAGTTTTTGCATTCTAACCATGGAGACCATGTGTACATGTAGAGGCATACCCAAGAGTCACACAAAGTAGATAACAAGGAAATTTGAGAAGTCACTTGTAGCCAGAGACTGGGAGAGAAAGCCCTCTTGCAGAGGAAGTAGCAGCTGAAGTTTAAAGGAAACCATGGATTACAAGGGGAGAAGGAAAGAGAGGGCATGTATGTGTATGTGTGTGTATATGTATAAGCATGTATCAGGTACAGACTGTGTGCCAGCTTTGTATAGGGGTGTGTAAGAAGCATTTATTTTTTTTAAATTTTATTTATTTTTGGCTACATTTTAATTTTCAAACTGTCTTCCTCCCTCTCTCCCTTCCCCACCATGAAGTAGAGAAGGCTCGAATTCTCTCTCTCTCTCTCTCTCTCTCTCTCTCTCTCTCTCTCTCTCTCTCTCTCCTCTCTCTCTCTCACACACACACACACACACACACATAAACACACACACAAAACCATATTACGAATACTTCTTTTTATCAGTTCTTTCTCTTGAGGTGGATAGCATCTTACTTCATAGGTCCTTTGTAGCTGCAGTAGCATTTATTAGGCATGTGCTATGTGCCAGCTTTATATATGAATATATGGAGAGAGAGACAGACAGAGGTAAAGAATGAGAATGGCCATCATCTAGGAATATACATACACTTAATGGCATTCTCCTGGTTCTGGCAAATATATTAGTATTATTTCACTTTTAACAACAGTAGAATACAAAACCATATATTGAAAGCATAATTTTAGTCAAATTACTTTCCTTGCTTTAAGTGAATGAATGACATCTGGATATTTCTGGAGATATGAGAATTACCTGTTATTTTTTTCAATATGATGATATAAAATAGAAAGAATGTGGAAGTCAATAATAAGTTATATTGTTGGAATTTAATTTTGTCATGGGAATCCACACTTAGAAAATGTGGGATATGTGTGTTGTGCAATAGAGTAACAGACTGGGTCTGTTAAGAAGTCATGTTTTATCTTTCAGTACACAGAGAACTGATAGGAAGAGAACACATATATATTTCAAAGAGCTTTATTTCTCTTTGTAGGCCCCAGTTTTACAACAAGAAGCCAGCTACTTTAACTTTCCATTTCAGCAATACTCTCTACTACATAGACATGTTTTAGATGGCAGTACCCTCCCTTCAGGAAATGTGTCATGTGGTCTAGAGTCAGAGGCACAGGTTAGAGTTCTCGTGGAACTCTCATATCATTTGGTCCAGTCTCCTCACTGGAGATTGAAGACTGAGACCCAGAGAGGACAGATGAATTGCTTAGGGTCTGGCAGAACCAGGGGGAAAAAAAAACAAACAAATAGCTGGCATTTATATAGTAATTCAATTTACAAAGTGATTTATACAAATAAAAACTCATCTGAATCTTACAACAACTCTGTGAGGTAGGTGCCATTATCATTATTATTGTTATTGCCATTACAGAGATGAAGAAACTGAAATCAAAAGTTAAGTGACTTTCTCTGGGTCCCACAGCTAATTGAGTCCCTGAGGCATGTCTTTCCAACTTTAAGTCATAGAATCACAGATTTAGAGCTTCAAAAGGCCCTGAGGGGTCACCTAGTCCAATCTCTTCATGTTACAGATGGGGAAACTGAGGTCTAGAGAAATTAAACGACTGGTCCAACATCATACAAGCTATAAATGCGAAGGCTGGGATTCTCACTGAGGATTCCCACTTATCCAGTACTCTTTCACTGATACCGCTCAATCCCTTACAACAATATGGTGCCTCTCAGGACTCCTGACTTCTCAGCCTAGAGTTCTTTCTTCTACTACTACTACTACTACTACTACTACTACTACTACTACTCCTACTACTACACGAGAGAGAGAGAGAGAGAGAGAGAGAGAGAGAGAGAGAGAGAGAGAGAGAGAGTGTGTGTGTGGGAGGTGGGGGGGAGGAAGGATCCTGCGAATGGATACCCTGACTTTGCTACTGGTCAACTCTTTGACCTGGAATCTCATTTCCTCATCTGTGAGATCAACAAGTTAGAATCAAGGGCATCCCTTCTGACATCTCTTCTAGTATTAACAATCTTTGTTTCTTGAGCTCAAACAAAATGATCAGTATGGGGTAGCTGATAGAGAGCTGGCCTTAAAACCATAAACCAAGGTTCAAGGCCTTCCTCCTATGCTTACTGGCTATTTTCACCTGGGCAAGACTCTTACCATTCTCAGAGCTCTAGGTAACTCTCAAAGACTACAGGGTTCAGAGAAGCAACTGACTTTCATTGACAGAAGTTTCCTCACTAGCCAATGAAATGACATTATAAAGAGTAACAAAAGGAGCAATGGCAGTATTTAAGGGATAAGAAAGCAGATGAAGGGAACAAAAATGGAGGGTGGGAAGACCACTTGACCAATTCCCCTCACATTCTCTAACACAGGGTTTGATCATTTGCAACATGATGAGCAGACACAAGTGTCTGCATACATGTGTGTACCACAGTGGTGTTTCTGGCACTATTATTTTTAAAAGTATTTTATGTAATAAAAGTATATATATATATATATATATATATATATATATATATATATATATATATATATATATATATTATTTTGTATAGCGTGCAAAACCACAACTATTTAGAGGTCAAGCTGCAAAACATTTAAAAAAGGATGGCTTCAGTCTAAAATTTCTAATGTGTACACAGACAACTGTACTATAGCTACACCTAAAAATGGAAATATAATCTATTAGTACAAATAGAGGCCTTACATTTTCCCCAAATTATGCCTCATAAAAAACATGGATGTTATCTATGATCCTGCTGCAACAGGTTTTGTCAAGACCACCATCTAATTCCCCCCACTTCCATGCTAAGGTGTAGGAGACTGATATATATCTGTTGAGCAGCTGATTTTCATAGTAAATATGGTTATGCCATATAAATGTTTCTCAGTGTAAACCTACATACTTTTGCACAAGATTTCATTTTTACAGTACAGTATATATTCAGGAACAAGTGACAACAGAACTAAATACCCTATTTGTTTAAATAATTTTCCAACTAGCACACATAAGCAAAAATACTGCCAATTAATTCTGGGGTTAAAACATGATATGCCAGATTTCACTACTGCTAAGATCACAGACATGATGAGAAAGGTCACCTTGCCCAGTAATTTTCTATTAGCAGTAGCAATGCTACTGCTAATACCTCTCTAGAAGGTCATAGATTTTTAACACAATACTAAAAATTAAGTTGTAATTCTATTTTGTTGGGTTTTTGTTTTGGGGCACATATTAACCAGAGGAAATTGAGTCTGTGGCTGTTCAATGGGGCAAGAAACCTGAATTCATGGTCTGAAGTCCTTAAGTACTTTAGTTTACAAAATATATATGGTATATAATGTGTGTGTGTGTGTGTATTTTTTTTTTTACAAAATACAATATACTACGACAAAGGGGATAGTTTCAGAAAAACCTAAGAAGACTTATATGAACTGATACAAAATGAAGTAAGCAGAACCTGGAAAACACTGCACATAATAACAACACTATTCTAACAATAAAAAACTGTGAAAGACTTAGCTACTCTGATCAATAAAAACAATGATCCACAATTCAAATAGACGTATGAAGGAAAATACTAAGCAAATTTTCTTTTATGTTCCTTATTTTACTTGCTTTTTTTTATTTTGGCAATGTGGCTAACATGGAAATGTTTTGCATGACTATGTATAATAAGTATCATATTGCTTGCCTTCTCACTGGGTGAGGAAGGGAGAGAACTTGGAACTGAAAATTTAAAAAAAAATACCATGTATTACCATGAATTTCAAGGCATTCTCAAAATTTCAAAATAAATGCCGGTCTCTGAAGGCATTTATCAGAAGCACTACATTCTTATGCAAACTGAGAGTCCCTAAAGGCACACAATCTAATCCTATGAATAAGGCCTGCAGTAGCTAATTGTTTGTATTTTATGTTTAGGGTTAAGCAGATTTCCACTTAATATTTCATTTTTGGCATCAGGCATGTAGTATCTTTTTTGGCAATAGTAATTGTGTTGTTGTACTTTACTGATGCGGCGCCAAGGAAACAAATCTGCAAGTGAGAATGGATTAAACAGTAATATGATTTAAGCAACATGTGAGGAGAGATGAGAATGTATTTGTTAGTAGCTAACAG